GGGGGAAAAGTAAGAACCAAGAGAGATTATGTAAAGGTGCAAATTTCCAATGATGAATGTCATTATATTGTATACCTAAAATGTACCAATAGAAGGATACACAGTTAAAAAAAGTAAACAAAAACCACAATCCAATTCAATTCTTTTTCCCAACGTAAGAGCCTAAAACATTAGATGGGAAAATAACAGGCAATCCCGAGATTAAGATAAATCTCTAAAATAATTTCCTTCCATCCCCCTAGTGCTTGAGACCTCTTTATTTCATTTTTCCTGACAACACTACCTTAGCTGGAGTATGCATAAACCCCTAAATGAAGCCCAAAACACCCAGACAAATTCACCAGCAATTTCTAAATACCTTCTACAGATTTGTCACATAACCCAGGCATCAGAGAAACTCGAGAAAGGTAAGAGAAAACTCCAACCCCATGCTGAGGTATTTCTTTGAGATGTCAAGGTTAACTCCTGTAAAATCACCAGACACTGGAACTGTGTGAGTCAGAGGCAAGGCCTGAATCTGACCTATGCCAGACCGTGTCCCAAGAACACTCTTTGCTACAACATAATGTGGCCTTAGAAACAAGCTCATAGGGCCGGGGATTTAGCTCAGTGGTTCCACCACCTGCCTCACAAGTACAAGGTCCCAAGTTCTATCTCCGGTACCAAAAAACAATAACAACCACAACAACAACAACAAAAAAACCCAGAAACAAGCTCATAAACAGACTGTCAATGTACTACAAAAAGACATACCCAGACTACTGGATCTATTTGGACATATTTCAAATTAACAAAACACATCCAATAGCACAGTTACATTACTGTTACAATGATCAAATGAACCAGCTGGTCATGGTGGCACATGCCTCTAATCCTAGCTACTTGGGAGGCTGGGGCAGGAGGATTCCAAGTTTAAGGCCAGCCTGGGCAACTTAGTGAGATTCTGTCTCAGAGTAAAATAATAATAAAAGGGCTAGAGATGTATTTCCCTGGGTTCAATCTCCCCACCCACACACACACACATACTCAAGTCAAATAAACTCATATATGTAAAGCTCTTAGCTTATGAAGTAACTCATGTAAAGCACGGTGTGGAAGGGAGAGTGGACAATATTCTGAAGGAATCCC